GCGGGGCGGCCGAGGGGTTCGGGCAGCGGCCGGTGGGACCCCAGCGGGTCTGCGCCGTTCGCCTTCAGTGCTGGCTCCCGAAGAGGGCGGGAGAGCGGGGAGCTGCCGCACGCCCCTAAACGACCCGGTTGTCCCCTTGTCCCGACGTCCGTCGTTGCTCGGCCCCGTATCGCGATAGAGGGACGCGTTTGTGCCGTGACTCTCTCAGCACCGTCGCTGCGGAGAGTTCCCGGGGCCGCTCCCGGGGCACCGGCACCCGTTGTGGCCCCGCCCGGTCCGGGGAGCAGGGCGGGCCGCGGTCCCCGTCCAGGTGCTCCCCGTCAGGGTCCCCAGGGACACGGAGTTGTGCCTGCTGTCCCTTCCTACGCGGTCAAAGCCAGAATAAGAGAGGTTCATAACCTGTATTTCTTGTTCTGTGCCCTTAACGACACTTATTTTTAATGAAAAGACTATAAACCGGCAAATTTTCTGTTCTGCTTTTGTGAACCGGAGGGTTTTTGTGGTGGTCGGTGACTGCTTTTGCAGTATAATGGGTTTGCTCAGTCCCACTCTGCTTCCTGGTCGCTCTTGCCAGTTTGTTTTCATACTTCTGAAGGATAGTACTTAGCAAGGGCGGGAAATATTTTGATTTAGAAGAGAATTTCTGTCTGACTTTAATTGATGTCAGGTTTTGTCTTGTGTGCTTTCATGCAAAGCATTGTTTATCTTTTTTTTTTTTAATCTTTTGTGCTGACTGTAGTGAGTTTGTGAGTCTGTAATCTGATTTCTTTCATTGCATGTACTGAGGGATAACATGCTGGGCTGCAGTTACAATCATTTGATGTATTTGTCGAAGTAAGTAGATCGTTAATATTTCCTGCACTGAGCACTTTTTGAGTGCAGGGGAGTGGAAAGAAGCTCCCGGGTGGTTGGGTCCAGTTTCCTAATGCAGGCCGCTGGGTTGTGTAATCCCCCGTTTTGTCAATTCCCAAGTAAAAACTGTTGAAGTTGCTCCAGTTGGGGTGACTTAAAAATTGTCATTGCTCCTTAGATTGCCCGGAGCTCAGGCAGGCCTCATTCTGCTCGCTCCCTGGGCTGTTTTCTCTTTTCACGTTTCTGCTGCATTAGGAGAAGCCTGTGGATGGCCCTGGAGATGTTGGACCCTGCTCAGCACTCTCACCTGGCTGAAGCAACCACTAGCTCCTTTTCTTCCAGTCCTGTGCTGATGTTTTACTAGCACAGCTTCTAGTGCTTAATATGTTGTGATAAATTCAGTAGAAAAGTATTTATAGCAAATTAATGCTAAACTTAGATGGCTCTGGTGCTTCCAGTGATTTTGTCAGGTGAATAGGAAGATCCTGGGATGTTTTTAACATGCTGATGACTGACAGAAGATATTAAAAGTAAGAAATCATGTCTGGTGGCTGATGAACTCTTGTCAAAGTGGATGGTTAAAAATGATAATGATATTTCTTCAAAGCCTATTCTCTAGAGTGGGAAGCCTATTGCACCTTATAGTAATTGCACACTTTGGCAAGTGTAATGTCATTTGCAGTAGACCCTGGAGATAGACGATATAAATCATCATGTGTAGTATAATATAAAATTAGGTGTACGTACAAACCAGATTTGGCCTTCTGTACAATGAACATTTTTTATGCTGTAGATAGATTTCTAGCTGTGGGAAACATTTAAAGCAGGGACAAATAGCTCTGTTGTAAAAATACGCATAATGTCCAATTGTGGGAAGAGTGCAGATGCCAAAGTAATTGTATAACCTTTGAAATATAGCAAAATGTACCAATATTTAAAAAAATGCAGACCTTTTAATGGACATTGAAGCATCTTTCTGAAGCTTAAAAGGTAGTTGAAGTTTACTTTTTGAAACATCACTTTGGCCATTAGACAAGTTTAATTTGTGTCTGAGAGTGAAATAGGGAAAAATCTTAAATATGCGTAACTGTAATCTTAACATCCCTTCTATAAAGGCATAACTGTACCAAGCTAGTAGCTACTTAGATTATTAAACTGTGCTAGGTTTAGCATGACTTGTGTCATATTGAACCCAGCTGCCCATTTTAATTATGGTAGTAGCTGAATGAATGACTATAAATTGATTTTTAGGTAGGTATACGAAGTATATTTTAAAAAAAAGAGGGACAAATTAATGAATAATCATGAACCATTTTCATATCAAACAAAAATTCTAACACTGTAATCCACCATAGATTATCAGGTAGTTTGTGTAAAATTGTGCTTTGGAAAACCATTGCTGTATTTGTGGTAATAAAAGTATCTTTTCGGCCACTGGAAGAAGATGGGGTCAAACCAGTAATATTGGTACTGATATGCAGTATATTCTTGAGCTGTGAAGTCAGGTCTCAGTATGGGTTGTGCATATTCTTGATTAGTCTTTTTTTTTTTTTAAGCTCCATATTCCATTGATATTCTTGTTTAAAGTTCAATTTGTTCTTCTTGTTTTATAGTTCTAGTACAGCTGTCCTTCAAGCAGTAGGAGTCTTACTGCTGAGGGCAAACAAAACCTTTAAATAAATATCTGCCCACTGCAAAGAGCAGAATTAGTGTTTGAATTTTCACTTCTTGAAAATTTTGAAAAATATGTTATATACCTCTAGTAGTTATTTAACAGGTGGAGAAAAGTTGAGCCTTTTACACAGAAATATAAGGTGCACAGCCTTCCTCCCTTCTAATGGTGTTTTGCTAATCAGATTAAAGAAATTATTTCTGCATGTATTCCAGAAAACACACTCACTGTGTTCGAGTTCTGACTCCTACTTGGGACCTAATAATATAAGAGTAAGGATAGAGGTAATTTTTTTTTTTTTAATTGCCCCCACACTACCTCTCTTTCCTCTACGATAGGATGTATTTCTAAAACTGATGCTGTCATTCTACTCTCAAATTGGTAGGCTTGGTGCAGTAATTGTTTAATAAAATGTTATGACTGGAATTACGTAGGAGGTCAGAAAAATTATCTTTATAGTTTTTGTAGCTTTAAATTTTGTTAATTCATGACAAATTTTAGAGGGTTTTGAACCTTCAGGGAGATTTGGCCACAAGTATCATGTTTTAGTGTGGGAGTGTAATTAGCAGCATTAAAAATGGACGGAATTAAGGAGTCCCTAATGGGTCTCGTGGAACTGATAGTAATGAACTAGAGACAGTTTTGTTGCATGTGTGTAAACTAGACAAAGAAGTGCTTAAATGCTATAAATGCTTATTTACCTGTAAAAGTGAAATGAAAGCTATCTGAAGTGACATCAACTTCTTAACAGAAAGGTGTCTGTGGGATTCACATCCTGTCAGCAAAAGCTCCTTCAAGAGGTTTAATACGTACCTGCTGTCTTGCCTTAGATGAAACATTGGGACTGAGGGGAGGGAGGACAAATAAGCTTAATATAAATTAGTCTTGACACTTAATGGGTTTCTTACCCTGCTTAATTGGTATGTGCTAATGTAAGGGCCGATACGTGGTGGATGGAAATATGGTAGTTTTGAGGTTTAGGTCTTCAAAACAAGATTATCATTTATCACAAGCATATATTTGCTTATTGGTGTCCGGTGCCATAATGTAATATTTTCATATTCTTTAGAGCACTGTGTATCAGACGTGTTTGTTCTGAGGCAAACGGTTGGAAGAGTAAGAAGGAATGGCATTTTTATGTCAAGCTTTTTTGGATCTTGTATAACTTCAGAGGAAGGCAGTTTAAGCAAGGTCTGCACCCCCCCCCCCACCCCCCCCGTCACAGAAACACGTGCGCAGGGAGAGGGCCGAGGCGGTG